GCATCTTTAATTGTAATATAAAGGAATTTGGCGAAAACCTACTTTGTACAAAGATGGGTTTAAAAAATTTTAAAATCAACAATTAATTAATTATTGTTACCAATCACTTGATACTCAGAAAGAGTATGGTTTACTTGTTGTCTACATGACAATTTTTTCATTATAAATATAACTATAATTCGCAAAGACATCAGAATAAAATTTTCTTAATCACTGATAACTTTATCATAAATAATAACTTTATCATAATCATATCACATATATTTTACTACCTTTTTTAAAAATGAACAATACTGTTTGTGAAACTATTTCTTCTATCCGTGGCCAAGACAAAATTAATGTTCATGGTTATATTATGGTCAAAGACAAACATCACAATGATTCATATTACTGGTGTTGTGAAAAACGTGTTGCACTAAAATGTAATGGCCAAGCAGTTACTAAATTGATTGAAGGAGAACATCATCTTCACAATGTTTCTGAACATAATCATGCTGCAGAGGCAAGCCAAGTCAATGTTATAAAGACAGTTAATGCTTTGAAAGAGAGAGCAAATGAAACCAGTGAACTACTTGTACAAATTATTCAAACTGTGTCTGCTCATAGTTCTCATATAATTCACCCATACCTTCCAACTCGTGATGCACTCCGACAAACAATCCATCGAATTCGAAGTTCTGGTCTTCCTACAGAACCAGAATATTTAGATGATCTTATTATTCCTGAAGATTTAACAAAAACTCTAGATGGATCTGACTTTTTGGTTAAGGATTCTGTTATGGATGAGGATAGAATACTGCTCTTTACAACTGTTGTCAATGTTCAATATATGGATGGAACCTTTAAAACAGTTCCAACTTTATTTAGACAATTGTATACAATTCATGGACGTGTTGGCAGTAATGAAAACTCACGATTAATGCCACTTGTCTATGCATTAATGTCCAGGAAATCAGAGAGATGTTATAGGAGATTGTTTCAGGACTTGGCTGATTTTGGTGTTGAATATGATATCCACAATTTATTTTAACAGACTTTGAACAAGCAGCTATTAATGCTACATCTAGAGAATTTCAACATGTTCAAAATAAGGGATGTTTTTTTCATTTATCCCAAAGCATTTATTGAAAAATACAAGCCTCTGGTCTAAGTGTTCAATATGGAACTGATGAAAATTTCAGTTTACTAATTCGACAAATTCCTGCACTTGCTTTCTTGCCCCCAAATGATATCCCAGCAGCATTTGATGAATTAAAGGGCCATATTCCTCCAGAAGCTAATGAAATTGTACAGTGGTTCGAAGATAATTATGTGCATGGT